CCTGCCCCTGCGGTCCCCCTTCCAGATGTGCTGACTCAGCACCGGCCACGGCCTGCGGCCAGGAGCCTGGATGGCCCTCCCGGCAATTCTGCTGAAACATGCAAAACACGAGGCGGTTTCCCTCAGAACTGCTCACGCCGCCCGGTGCTGCTGTGTCGTGTTACTTGCTCTGGCGTGGTCAGGACACGTGACGTGAGGCCGCAGGCTCGGCCAGTTCGCCCGTGCACCATCCACTCGGGTCACGGGGCAGCCCACGGCGAGGCCCACAGCAGAGCCCCCTCCTCTCCTTAGCTTTATTTCCTTAATATATTTTTATTGATTTCAGAGAGGAAGGGAGAGGGAGATAGAAACGTCAATGTTGAGAGAGAATCACCGATCAGCTGCCTCCTGCACGCCCCACGCAAGAGGTTGAGCCCGCAACCCGGGCATGTGCCCAGACCAGGATTCATACTGTGACCTCCCGGCTCATAGGTCGATGCTCACCCACTGAGCCCCGCCCACCAGGCCCGTCCTTCACTTTAAACCGGCGCCTGGCTGACCTGCTCCTGCACGAGACTAAACCAACGCCCTCCCTACAGAAATCACAGCATTCGGCACAGCCTCCCATGGCATCATCCCACTGCTCTCTGCAAACAGGACAGAGTTCATGGCTCCCCACCTCCCCTGGGCTGCCCGGACGAGCTCCCTCATGCCGGGCTGTGGTCGGAGGGAGGACGCAGCCGGCCCTCACGGCCCCTGTTCTGGTTGAGGCTGGACCCTGGATGCCTTGTGGGTTTTTTGTTTGTTTGTTTGTTTTTCTTTCTGGACACTTTGTTTTTAATGGTTTGAAAATTAAATCCTCACAACACAAGCCCCGTCATTTTTTCCCTGGATCCACAACACGAAACCTCAAACCGTCGTCGTGACCATCTGAGAGCGTGGGACTCGGTGGCCTCAGGGCGTCCGCCACGCCGTGCAACCACTGCTGTCATCGCTCCAAGGAAACCCTGCCCCACCCGCCTCCCTGTGGTGCCTGCGGGGCTCAGGGCCTGTGAGCGGCTCATGGGCCACGTGGGCGCCTGTGCCTGGACGCCTCCACCCGTGAGTCCTCAGGTCACCCGTGCACGCATGTCCGTAGACTCAGGCCCTAATGGTTTTGGATTCTCAACGCTGGCTGTGCCCTTCCTGTTGGCTCCGGGCCTCACTGGCCTCCCGTTCAGTGGCCGTTTCCCGAGGCTCCCATCCCAGTGACAGCAGCTGGTCCCAGCCGCCCTCCTTCCCCAGCTGGTGATGGGCCACCTCACGAGGCACCTAATCTCTTTCCAGTCTTAAAACCCACTTCCCGCCCCGGCCAGTGTGGGCCAGCGGTTAGCGAGCACGAACCCATCAAAGGGCTCTGTCTCTGTCATGGAAATCACTCTTCTTCCCACTGATCTGAAATGTTCACAGACTTACATCTCGAGTCCCTCCCGACAATGCAGCGGCGGTGGGACCAACATGCATGGTGTGGCGGTCATGTAGTACCGACTCCCATGGGACTGACTCCCGTGGAACTGACTCCCGTGGAACCGACTCCCATGGGACTGACTCCCGTGGGACCGACTCCCGTGGAACCGACTCCCATGGGACTGACTCCCGTGGGACCGACTCCCATGGGACTGACTCCCGTGGGACCGACTCCCGTGGGACCGACTCCCATGGGACCGACCGGCGCTGAGAGGCATGTGTGCGCGGATGGCTTACCTTTGCAGTTGCCCCGGTACGCAATCTCCAGCTGCGGGTCTTTGCACTTGGCACGCTGGAACTCGCAACGGGACAGGAAGGTCCTCCCATCGGACGCACAGACAGGCTTCTGGGGGGAGCCCCCGCAGTCCAGGCTGCAGTCCTTGTCTTTATCTTGATCGACTCGCAAAAACTGCAGGAGGAGAAGAGAAGCAGATCGACCTGAAGAAACGCTCGCAGCCTGGCTGGCGGGGCTCGTGGCTGAGCGTCGACCCGTGAACAGGAGGTCAGGGTGCGATTCCCGGTCAGGGCACAGGCCCGGGTTGTGGGCTCGATCCCCAGTGTGGGGCGTGCAGGAGGCAGCCGATCCATGATTCTCTCTCATCCTTGATGTCTCTCTCCCTCTCACTCTCCCTTCCTCTCTGACACCAATAAATATGCACATATTTTTTAAAGAAATACTTTCAGCAGAGCAGCGGAGAGCAGATGGTGACCTGAGGCCACTGATGTCTGGGAGCCGCGGCCGGACACACCAGGGAGACCTGCACATTCTTGGCTGTCGCCTGTTTTCGAAGGTCTCAGGAACCGACCATTCTCTACGCCCGCGTTTGGTGCTGAATCGCAGAAGCTGAGCAGCGTGTGAACCCGCCCCATCTCACAGAGGCCAGTGAGCCCTTTACCTTCCGTCTGAACTGGGGGCGGGGGGGGAGGGCTTGCCTCAGAGTCTGTGAATTCATTGCCAGTCACTCCCCACTCACCCCGCGCTGCCCTCATCTGGGAGGTGAGGAGTCGGTGAGGAAATCGGGAGGTGGGCCCCCAATGAAATGGCCCCACAGGGCCCCCGCGGCCTGGGCCCCTGTGTGCATCTTGCCTGAACTAGGTTCCTATCCTATATAATAAAAGGCTAATATGCAAATCAACTGAATGGCAGAACAGCCGGTCGCTATGCCATGCACTGACCACCAGGCGGCAGATGCTCAATGCAGGAGCTGCCCCCTGGTAGTCAGTGTGCCAGAAGCGGGGCCCACAGCTGACGAGCACAGCAGCGGTGGCAGGAGCCTCTCCCGCCTCCCCAGAAGTTCTAAGGATGTCCGACTGATGGCTTAGGCCCGCTCCCCGCAGCGAGCGGGCCTAAGCTGTCAATCAGACATCCCCTGGGGGCTCCTGGACTGTGAGAGGGTACAGGCTGGGCTGAGGGACCCCCCCCTCCCCAAGTGCACAAATTGTATGCACCAGGCCTCTAGTTTCTGAATCAACACCCAGGCCCAGGGGAGCGGTTTCTGCGGAGGCCTGATGTCTCTTGGGCTGGCCTATGTCCCCCATAGTCCCTGCCCAGGGCCCCCCATGCTCCCCAGTCCTGAGGACACCCCAGGTTCCCTGTCCTTGCCTGGCTCCCCTTATCCCACACATACCCCTCAGATCTAAGTGTCCCCCCAGAGGCCTGGGCCCGGCTGCCAGCTCCCACAAAGCACTTCCTGGCCAACAGATGGTGCTCCCCACCCACCCAACTCCCAGACCTCTGCACGTGCTCCCACTGCAGGCCTAGTCCTCCCTCCCCTCAACCCCACCGCCACCCCCGACCCCTGCCAGGAGGGACAGCAAACGTGCAGGGACCCACGTGCAGGGGACCCACGTGCAGGGGACCCATGTGCAGGGGACCCACGTGCAGGGGACCCATGTGCAGGAGACCCAGGTGCAATGGAACATCCTGGAGGCAGCGAGAACCCTGCTCTCTCCTCCACTGCGGGGTGCACGCTCACTGACTAGGGCGAGCACAGAGGGCCCAGAGGAGACGCTCAGCTCCCCCCTCATGTCCCCCAAACACCGACACTGCCCCCCAAACTAAGACACCTGTGCAGGGAAGCCAGCCTCCCTTGCCCTGTGACAGAGGCAACCACGGTCCCGGGCTCACGGTCTGGGCCATGCAGAGCTGGCCCTTCAGACGGAACCTGTCGGAGCCCAAGGGCAGGTGGGAGCAGCTCACAGGCACCGAGGAGGAGACAGAGGTTCCTGGAGCACCCCAAGCCCAGCTGCCTCACGCGACCACTGAGAGACCAGGCTCCCGGAAGTCACCAGCTTGTCTGCGATGCAGCTGGTACCCAACCAGCACCTGGGACCCGGTCCCATTCCCCCCTCCGCCCTGCACGGTGGGTCTTCCTGCTCCAGGACCCCCACGGGAGCACTTTGGGGAGGAAGCCTGGGAAGTGGCATGGACGAGGGCTGGGCGTCAGGGCTCAGTGCCTCTGTTCCCGGACCCAGCTCCACTCCGGCTCTGACTCCTGCTGGCTCCTCCGGCGTCGTCTGAAGTGCAAAGGCCACGCTGTCGCCTTGGGCGACGCAGGACACAGATGCTTCACGCTCCCTGACAGCGTGTTATGCAAGGAGACAGCAAGGCCTGCGGCCCCAGGGCAGCCTCTCTGCACAGCGCCTCCCTCCCCCCCGCCCAGGTCACATCACCCCGAGCCGCAGGCGCAATCTCTGAGATGCACTCCCTGCCGCGGCGCCTGGCCCCTGTCACCGACACCTCCCCGGTGTCTGCACCCTCCCAGGCGACAGGCAGAGCCATGGCCCGTCTGTGCATCTCCCCACGGTGTCTCAGGGCAGAGGCTGAGGCAGAGGCGGAGGCGGAGGCGGAGGCGGAGGCGGAGGCGGAGGCGGAGGCCAGCTGGGGCACCTGTGCTGGCGCTTCACCCTGGCCCTGGGGCCGGGAGCACACAGGGCTCTAGACCCTCCCGCCCTGCAGACACCACAGCCCAGCAAGGAGTTCGCGCCTCAATTCACAGAAGTTCGGGGAGAGCGACGCTCCGCTGCTGCGTCCCGGCTGCATCTCGGCTCTTGGGCGCCCGTGTGGAGCCTGGGCGGGTGGGGGCACATCGGTCTCCCAGGCTCTGCCATCTATGAGCTGGAATTTGGGGGGAACCTCCTAAACTAGCTCCCTACCCACCAAGTTTTAAAGGAACAGTTGCACAGGAACCGTGAGAGCCCATCCGTGGCTAGAGCGCTGACAAAACAACGCTGAGAAAAGTCCGTCTTTCCCCTTAACGCCTGGGAACTTACACCTTTAATTACACAGAAAAGAGAAATCCCTTAATTACAGGGGAAGAGGGAGTAAGAGGATTGGGGGGACCCCCAGGGGACTGCGGGCTGCGGGGTCCACAGTCCAGAGAGAAGCGGTGGGTGAGGGACCGGAGGGATCGGGGGACAGGAGAGGAGACGCCCGAGCCCACTGCCCCGGGCAGAGCCGCCCGCAGAGCTGAGCGGGCACCTGAGACAGCACAGGGGGAGGGAGCATGTGCAGGTGGGGGTGTGGGGGGGCCCTCGCCGTAAGTCACGCAGCCCCTGTGGGGGCACAGACCTGCCCGTCCTCGCCACGGGGATTCTCCAAACCACAGCGTCACCAAACACTCCCGTGTCCCCGCAAACCACGGACAGCGTGCACGCCGCGCCTGTTCACGCTGCTCCTCGGCGGAGCCTAGGGCGCCGGGCACACCCTCCGTGTCCACGAGAGGAGATGCTGCAGCGAGGCGCCAAGAGTGGTCACCTTCCCAGAGGAGAGGCCGGCGCCGGACCCGCCTCCACGCCCACGGCTCAGAGGGACACACTGCCCGGGCCACCAGTCAGCATCAGGGACGAGAATCCTGGAGAGTCACCGGGCCCCGTCGGCCCCCCCAGGGGCACCCGCAGCCCTCGGGGAGCCCCGGCCCAGAACGGACTTGGGGAGCAGGGGGTGCAGCCCGTCCCTGAGCCGAGACACCCCCGATCCAAGCATCACGCGGAGAAACAGTCCCAGCCTGGGCGAGTCCGTGTGGCGGGCACGGGTCCTGCGTGGCCCTGAACACCTGGCCAGTGGCACCAGGATACTGGGAGCCTGGAACCAGTGCCAGATCCTGGCTGAGCCGACTCTCCCTCAATTCCTGGAGAGCCTCGAGGGGGGTGGGGGGGGCAAACCAATGTCCTGTTTGTCCCCGGGGTCCCTGCCCACTCCGTGCTGGGTTCTGGGACCCAGCGGGCTGCTCCAGTCTGGGGCTCCCCGACCCAGAAACCCAGGTGAGTCCTAAGCAGACAAGACGCTGCCACTCCCGGGGACGCACGATGCCCCGTCCCTGACAGCGATGAGAGACCAGAGGCCCGTCCAGGTCTTTATCACCCCGAGGGCAGTGGGCTCTGGCCTGGGAGAGCCGCAGGAGGTGCTGAGAAACGGCGGCGAGGCCTGGCGTTCAGAGAAGCAGCCACAGGAAAAAGAGGCACCTGGCCCACCTTTCCTCCTCTGCTCAGTGGATTAGCACCCCGTCCGCAGCCTGAACCCCCATCGGAGTGCGAGGCGGGTCACACGACGCCCCCGCCCGCGGGCCCAGCTCCCCGGCTCCACACCCCGCACTTCGCTGTTTCGTAAAGAACAAACTCACTCAGAATCAGGGGGAAACGACCCTTGGTGATATCCGATGCCTCCACTTCCCAAACACGCCAGGACTCAGTCCAGGCCGTGCGGTCGGGGATGGGAACGCAGGCAACACTTCCGTTTGGATGGTTCCAGGCATCAGAACGACCCCACCACCTAGTACTCCAAACTCACGGAGTCCACGCTCTGACACGCAGAAATCATGGCTACACACAGGATGCACGTACATGCTGTGAGCAGCAACTCCTCGAGGTTCACGTCAAAAACTCCCGAATGGCGAGAACCAACGGACACGGCGACCACGGGGACGGGGACACCAGGAAAGAGCCAGGGAAATCGGTTCCCCACCTGCCACCCACCTGTCATCCCACCTGCCACCCCACCTGCCACCCCACCTGTCACCCACCTGCCACCCACCTGCCACCCCACCTGCCACCCACCTGCCACCCCACAGGAAGGAGGGCTTCAGGGCTCACACACCTTCCCGGGGGATTATACCCACATGACCAACTCCTGTCTAAGCTCATTTTACCCGACCGGTATCACTGCTACCCCAAACATTTGGTATTAACACGTCAAACTGACATGCGTGTAAGTGGTGATACTGCAGGGACGTGGCCCCCGCGATGGCGCCGTCTTCACATTCAGAGCCTCATTTCCGAGGAGCTGCCCTGAGGCTCCAGGAACGTCCCTCCCTTTGGAGCAGCGGTTCTCAACGTGTGGGTCGCGACCCCTTTGGCGGTCGAACGACCCTTTCACAGGGGTCGCCTAAGACCATCCTGCATATCAGATATTTACATGACGATTCATAACAGTAGCAACATTACAGTTAGGAAGTAGCAACGAGAATAATTTTATGGTTGGGTCACAACAGGAGGAGCTGTATTAAGAGCCAGAGGTTGAGAACCGCTGCACCTCAGAGATTTACACCAAGAAAGACCGGCGCTCAGGTCAGGGTCCTTCACTGAGGTCACCTCGGAACACATCTCCACCTCCGACAGCTTAGCCTCCCTTTTTTAAATACGTTTTTATTGATTTCAGAGAGAAAGGGAGAGAGAATCATGGATCGCTGCCTCCTGCACGCCCCCCACTGGGGATCGAGCCTGCAACACGGGCCTGTGCCCTGACGGGGAATCAAACCAGTGACCTCTTGCTTCGTAGGTCGGTCGATGCTCAGTCACTGAACCACATCGGCCGAGCAGAACCGGCTCCATCTGCGGGTTCTGACCGGGTTCGGAGGGAGGCCAGCGTGGCA